TATAAAAAAAATTATATATATATATATATTTATAATAATATATTTATAATAATATTGAAGAAGTGTGTACAAACTAATACTCGACGAAGATCGAAAATTGTAAAAATTTCTTTAAGGAAAGACCAAGAGTAGGACTGCTTGAATCGATCGATAATTTAAATTCGAGTTGTAAAAGAGGGCCTCCTCCTCCTCCTCCTCTCTTCACCTCTCCTACCTCCTATTCGGATTAATGAATATTCATCGAAACGAAACGTCGCCCTCGATCCAGTCAACGCCCTCGATCGATGATTTAGTTTTCTTATTTATTTCTTATCTTTTTTTTTCTTTTTTTCCACATCCCGAACACCAATTTCCGTTCTTGTTGACACAGCGGTGAATTAAATCTAATTAATTAATACTATTCATTAACACGAAAATTCCGAGATATATTATATTTATTATAATTATAAATATTTAAACAATCGTGAAATATCGATCAAATCAAAGGACCGATTTTGAAATTTACAACGAAAGATCTTACATTTAGAAAAATTATTTTTCGTTTCTTTCATTTAATCATTTATTATAATTATAAATATTGTTACATCTTCATTTTTTTAATAAGTCATTCTATCAATTGCAATATAAATAATTTTATACAGTTTGTAACTGTTTATTTATTATTTATATTTAATCGAGACAAATATTTGGTTTAAAAATAAAACATTTGATTACTTATTCGAAAGAAAAAGAACATAAATTGTTGTCGAGATAATAATCCAACCAACGGTTACGTTTCATCGCGTGTTCCACGTATAAAATATAAATTATGAAATTTAATTAACCCCGGCGGGGTAGAGGAGGGTTAAGGAATAAAATATCGAAATAAAATTTCGACAGATCGATTTCTTATCGAACGACAAAGTTTTTCTACGTTAGTAATAATTTTTCACGGTGACAGTATATCCGCCGGAAATATCGGTAACGTCGTAAAAATAATAATAATAATAATAATAATAATAATAATAATGTAGAGAGATAGGATCGAGTTCGTTATTTATTATACTATCGGTTATCAAAGCTGTATTAAATCACCGGACGTCGAACTAAAAGATTAACTCGTCAATTAATTTCGCGATACGTAAAAGCCTTTACGGGCCATTACACACCGCCGATCATCATCATTTAGTAAATTGATCTTAACGTTTTAACAAATTCATTTTTTTTTTTTCTTTTTTATTTTACTTCGAAAATGTTCTCTATTAACACATTATCTTGTTACTAACAAACCGTTACCCAATGGTCACACCATGTATTATATTTTTAAATTAATAGTTCATCATAATTCGTTTGATAATTAAAGAAATCATTGTATAACTATAGTAAAATATTTATTTTAATTCTATTGGAAAGACGAGATGATATCTAGTCATCCGTTCGCAATGTGTTAACGAAAAAATATAAATGATTTGTTAAATAGTTAAAAAAAAATTCATTATCACATACCGTTGATAAAATATTAATATTTTAATAACATAGGAAAAACGTGAGATAATATCTCGTCATGCATTCGCAATGTGTGTTAACAGCAATATCAATAACACAACAATTAAAATTGTTTGACCCTAGATAATCGAATTTATGATATGCGAAAGAAACATAGCAATAAAATTGTATAAACTAGTAATAGTATATCTATATATATATATATAGGTTTCTTTGGTAGATCCGTTAATTTTACAAGTGACTTTCGTTTTCGACCGCAAACGAGAAATCTGGCCTTTGTCCCCTCTGCAATAGCGAAAACGTGGGAAAGAACGTGCTAAAAGATAAAAGGCTACGATGCGTTACGTTTCTTCTAACAACAAGTATACATGTAATTCTCCTCAATGCGTGCCTTGAATTAACGTTCTATTATTTTTTTTGTCTGTTTTTCTTTTTCTTTCCATCTAAATTAAACTATTTCTTTCTATGATTTAAACTCTCTCTTTCTTTCTTTCTTTCTCTCCCTATTCCTTTTTCTTTTCTTTCGAAATTTCCAATGAAAACTGTTTAAGAATATCAAACGTATGCGAATAATGGGGTTCCATTTAAACGACTTCATTGTCTTCGATAATTTTATACAAGAAAATTCTGTTTCTCGTTTCGGTAACACAACGTGGAAAGTGTTGTT